TCATTTTCCACCACGACAATGTTAGGCCGCACACGTCTTTGTCCACTCGGCAAAAATTGATGGATATTGGTTGGGAATTGATGTTACACCCACCATATAGCCCTGATCTCGCGCCATCGGACTACCACTTATTTCGATCCCTGGACAACTCCCTTCGTGGTAAAACTTTTAACGATGATGACGCTGTAAAATCTCACTTAACTCAGTTTTTGGCCGAAAAGGATCAGACTTTCTACGAGCGTGGAATTTTCAAGTTGTCAGAGAGATGACAAAAGATCATCGAACAAAATGGAAAATACATTAGAGATTATATAAACTTCGTTCCAAGTAAAAAAAATTTTTCATTTCATTGAACAAATCGGCAATTACTTAGTTCCCAACCCAATAGAACCGTGATTATTCATGGAATCCATTCTACTTACTTTTAGTATGCTTCAAGTTAGCCCTTCGACTGTTACGTCACCCACGTACGAGTAACAAAATTATTTGCTCAGAACAGAAAAATTAATTTTTACGCAGATTTATTACATCTCTCCAATTTTATTAGGATCCGTAAAATATATAAATGCTGAAACAAATCATCGACGTCGTGGGAACATAGCTTTTCAATTTCAATTTGATTAAATAGATTGCACCGATTCTATGCAATTTCTAAGATCGTCGACATGTCAGTCGAAGCATAATAAGCATTCAAATATCCCCATTCGCCGCATCTTCGAGCTAACTTGCGTCTCAAGCGTTCACGTACGAATTTATTTGCAGAGTCGCCGATCAAGACGATCGACGTGGACCTCGACGCGTACACGATGAGGAAGTTCTCGGACAACTTTACGTTTTACTGGCGCATACTCAAGGAGAGCAAAGAACTCGAGGGCGTTATGGTAGTAAACGGGACGAGCTGGGTCGGCGTTGGCTGGCGACCAAACGACTTGACACCGGCCTGTCGAGCTTTCCCCGAGATTCAAGAAAAACCGAAAGGGGAGCCGCTCCCGCGGCCCGAGCCAAAATCGGAACCGGAACCCGAGTCCGAGCCGAAGGCCGAGCCGAAACCGGAACCCGAGCCCGAGCCCGAGCCCGAGCCCGAGGCGGGAACGGAACGGTCCGGTGCCAAGAGGAGATCGGCCAAAGCTCATGATCTTACTTCGTTGGCCGCGACTCCGCGGTCCGACGCTGATGTCACCGTGCAGACCAGCGTGACTTATCGCGTCAGCACGAAGCAAGGCAAATATCCAGTTTTCTTTCCGCTCGATTGCCTCTGCATCCGCGCGCGATGATTGTCGGCTGATTGTTGCTGATCGATCGATCATTTTTAACCGTTCGAGTCCCAAACAACGCGACCGCGCTGTTGAAATTTTGTGTCAAAGCGCGCTCGGATTTACCGAAGCAAGTACATCGCGCTTTTAATGCAAATAGTACATTTTACAGTAGGTAGAATAATACTATAATGATGCAATAATAAGCGATATAATAATGTCTCTCTTACCGACGCTCAGATTGTCCACTAAAATGGACAATTTGGGAAGAGGAGATACGATTATACGAGCCTCGCGGCTCGTTTCTATAATTGTGGACAATTTACAACTATAACAATAAACCGCAAGGCTCGAATAATCGCATCTCCTCTTCCCAAATTGTCCATTTTAGTGGACAATCTGAGCGCTGTCTCTTATACACATCTAGATGTGTATAAGAGACAGATAATACATTACAAAATAAAAATTTTTAATTCATTATTATCGCGCCGCTTGCTATTTCTTGACATAAAATAAAACACTCTCTCTTATACACATCTAGATGTGTATAAGAGACAGATAATACATTACAAAATAAAAATTTTTAATTCATTATTATCGCGCCGCTTGCTATTTCTTGACATAAAATAAAACACTCTCTCTTATACACATCTAGATGTGTATAAGAGACAGATAATACATTACAAAATAAAAATTTTTAATTCATTATTATCGCGCCGCTTGCTATTTCTTGACATAAAATAAAACACTCTCTCTTATACACATCTAGATGTGTATAAGAGACAGATAATACATTACAAAATAAAAATTTTTAATTCATTATTATCGCGCCGCTTGCTATTTCTTGACATAAAATAAAACACTCTCTCTTATACACATCTAGATGTGTATAAGAGACAGATAATACATTACAAAATAAAAATTTTTAATTCATTATTATCGCGCCGCTTGCTATTTCTTGACATAAAATAAAACACTCTCTCTTATACACATCTAGATGTGTATAAGAGACAGATAATACATTACAAAATAAAAATTTTTAATTCATTATTATCGCGCCGCTTGCTATTTCTTGACATAAAATAAAACACTCTCTCTTATACACATCTAGATGTGTATAAGAGACAGATAATACATTACAAAATAAAAATTTTTAATTCATTATTATCGCGCCGCTTGCTATTTCTTGACATAAAATAAAACACTCTCTCTTATACACATCTAGATGTGTATAAGAGACAGATAATACATTACAAAATAAAAATTTTTAATTCATTATTATCGCGCCGCTTGCTATTTCTTGACATAAAATAAAACACTCTCTCTTATACACATCTAGATGTGTATAAGAGACAGATAATACATTACAAAATAAAAATTTTTAATTCATTATTATCGCGCCGCTTGCTATTTCTTGACATAAAATAAAACACTCTCTCTTATACACATCTAGATGTGTATAAGAGACAGATAATACATTACAAAATAAAAATTTTTAATTCATTATTATCGCGCCGCTTGCTATTTCTTGACATAAAATAAAACACTCTCTCTTATACACATCTAGATGTGTATAAGAGACAGATAATACATTACAAAATAAAAATTTTTAATTCATTATTATCGCGCCGCTTGCTATTTCTTGACATAAAATAAAACACTCTCTCTTATACACATCTAGATGTGTATAAGAGACAGATAATACATTACAAAATAAAAATTTTTAATTCATTATTATCGCGCCGCTTGCTATTTCTTGACATAAAATAAAACACTCTCTCTTATACACATCTAGATGTGTATAAGAGACAGATAATACATTACAAAATAAAAATTTTTAATTCATTATTATCGCGCCGCTTGCTATTTCTTGACATAAAATAAAACACTCTCTCTTATACACATCTAGATGTGTATAAGAGACAGATAATACATTACAAAATAAAAATTTTTAATTCATTATTATCGCGCCGCTTGCTATTTCTTGACATAAAATAAAACAAGCGCCAGCGCGCTGCTTGGGTCTTTTCGTGCTCGTTTAGAGAAAGCGCGGCTGCGCTGTTTACGATTCTTCGACGGTGTTTTTTCAATACCCCCTGGGACTCAAACGGTTAAGATTAATTACCAGGTTAGTTAATTGTCACCGTGAGGATGATATGCTACTCGGCCTTTGTATCGCAACAAAGTCGTGAACAAGAGCACATCGTGCGAAATATTCCGCAATTGGCGACAGTCGACAATCATCGTGCGTAAATTATAGTAATTTCTCCCTAATTCGCGCTCAGGTACGGTAAATTGTTCCTCGGTTTGTAAACAAAAATTGACAACTTGGGAAGAGGGGATTTTTATAGTTGTCGACAATCGATAACTATGAAAACGAGACGTGTCTCCGTAATCGTGTATCTCCTCTTCCCAAATTGTCCATTCTCGGACAATTCTCAATTATCTCTCGCGCAATTTGACCGCGAATTAGGGAGAAATTACTGTAATCCGATTGCAGATGCAAACGCATTAACCCTTTTGCTCCGACGAGGGTGCATAACTTTGCGAGTCCAGATTGTTGCTTCGTATTAGATCATCCACACGTTGTTTACATCACCATAATACATTTCTGATTAAAAGCAAATGCACCTTATTATTACTATTATTTTTAAATCGTTCAAAGAACGTTAAAATTTTGTGGAAGATTTAATATTATTACATTATTATTATTAATATTATTATAATTGTGCAAGCCCTCCAGAGCAAAGGGATTTCATATAATTGCATTCAATAATTATAAACGTGTTTAATATTTTTCTGCAGGACGTAAAAAGCGGTCTCCGGATTCCGCGGCAACCTCTACAAACGGTACGTATCGATGCTTAAAGGAACTTTACCGGTCAAAGACTACACCCACGCTTCCCGTAACGTTATACAGTAGAAAACATGTAGTTAGCTTTTGAATAAGTAGTAGTGTATTGCCCTATTCTCGTTCGAGACACTACGCACAAGGTGGTGGTCCGTAAGAGGTATATGCAGTAGGTAGTTGCACGACGATCGATGCTTTGTTGCACAGGGGAACCCGTCGCCGAGCCGAGCACTGTCGACAGCACCGACACCACGCCCGAACCCAAATCAGAGCCCGTGTCCGAACCTGAACCGAAGTCCGAGCCTGAACCCGAACCTGAACCGAAGTCCGAACCCGAACCGAAATCCGAGCCTGAACCGAAATCCGAACCCGAACCTACACCGAAACCGGAGCCAAGGTCCGACGCAGAGCTAATATCCGTTTCAAAATCTGTCTCGAGCCCGGAAACGCGGTCTCAATTGAAAACGATTTCCAAAGCACAAGCCAGAGCCTATTCGGAACCCAATGCCACGCCGGAACCTAAATCCGAACCCGAACCTAAATCGGAACCCGAACCTAAATCCGAACCAGAACCTAAATCTGAACCCGAACCCAAATCGGAACCCGAACCTAAATCCGAACCCGAACCTAAATCCGAACCCGAACCTAAATCCGAACCCGAACCTAAATCCGAGCCGGAACCTAAATCCGAACCCGAACCCAAGTCAGAACCAGAACCAAAGTCCGAACCGGAACCCAGTTCCGAACCAGAGCCAAAGTCTGAACCGGAACCCAACTCCGAGCCACACCCAAAGTCAGAGCCGGAGCCAAAGTCTGAACCCACCTCGGAACCGGAGCCGATTTCGGGCCTCAGGTCGAGCGCCACAAAAGGTAACGAACTAATCAGACCAGTCTCGACGCTTCTCTCCTCATCTACTGACACCCGCGCTTTCACTATTCGCATAGGGTTGCTAGGCACATTTTAATCCGTCCACGTTGTTCTCGAGACTACTGCTTTTTACAGAGTATTCGTCGATATTTTGTGTGTGTGTGTGTGTCGGTAATATTTCATCGAGAACAATTGACATTTTATCTGCCACAAGATAACATGTTAAGTGCCGTGTATCGAAAAAAAATATTGTAAAACATGAAAATTGTGTATCAACCTCAAAAATTCGCAAATTCGTCAGTCTTTTAATTCTTGGATGGCGGACATTTTAATATATATATATATATAATATAATAATATATATATTATTATATATTATAATATAATAATATATATAATATTATAATGTATTATAATAATTATATAATATATATATATATATTCAATATGAATATTTAATAATTACATATGGCTGCCACGAAATTAGAAATTGGATGGAATGTTTGTAACTCTGGGTCCAAATGGACCCGGCGCCCATCATCCAAGGGTTAATCATCGCCATCCTAGGTATTTAGAATATACCATAGTAATTATTATAATTCAACTCTTATGCATTCTAAAAGTTCTAGTAACATTCAGTTTGTTAGCATATATTCTAATAAAATGAATTTTGAAGCCTAGTTAAAAATTAGTATCATCCATATGTGACCTACGCGGCACTCAACGTGTTAATAATTTTGTCTAATGGTTCAAAGTGACAGTTCTACGAGATAAACACTATATATTAGACAAGACAGTCTACCTGTTTCCGAGCAAAAGTACATTTCACACGCTAAAGAACACTCTGTTATAAGGCGAAAAAATTGTCGAAGATTTGAAGAGTGTGCACCCAGTATCACACAGTCACCTTAGATTTATTTCACTTCTCAAATCTTCGACTTAAATCACACACGATCGTGTATAATTTCTAATACAGTAATTCTAAGTACAGTAATTTCTCCAACAGAAATGTTCGTTGGTCGGAATTAAGACCGGCAGATCTGAGAATACTAAGTCGCGATTCTTCGAGTCTCGCGGCTCCTTTTTATAGAAACTCGGGACAGTCGGCAAAAAATACATAGAAATGCTAGAATGAAAACGATGACTTAACTTTTTTGTTTCTAATTTTTTGCCACGATTCGAAGGCAATTCTGAGGTCACTTTACACGATTCGAAGGTTCGAAGGCAATTCGGAGGCCACATGCCACGATTCGAAGACAATTCAGAGGCCTTATGTCACGATTCGAAGGCAATTCGGAGGCCACATGCCACGATTAGAAGGCAATTCGGAGGCCTTATGCCATGATTTGAAGGTTCGAAGGCAATTTGGAGGCCACATGTCACGATTCGAAGGTAATTCGGAGGCCTCACGCCACGATTCGAAGGCAATTTGGAGGCCTTATGCCACGATTAGAAGGCAATTCGGAGGCCTTATGCCATGATTTGAAGGTTCGAAGGCAATTTGGAGGCCTTATGCCACGATTAGAAGGCAATTCGGAGGCCTTATGCCATGATTTGAAGGTTCGAAGGCAATTTGGAGGCCTTATGCCACAATTCAAAGGCAATTCGGAGGTCTCATGCCACGATTCGAAGGTTCGAAGGCAATTCGGAGGCCTCGTGCCACGATTCGAAGGCAATTCGAAGACCTTATGCCACGATTCGAAGGTTCGAAAGCAATTTGGCGGCCACATGCCACGATTCGAAGACAATTGAGAGGTCTCATGCTACGATTCGAAGGCAATTCGGAGGCCTCACGCCACGATTCACAGCTTGACCGACTCCGTCGACCCTTATCATCGACGTAGCAATAAATTACATAGGCGTAGATCCAGCACAGGGAAAATTCACAGCAACCCGAAATTCGGCATTTCCGGGAGAAATTACTGTACCTTATTTCTGGATCGATTAAAATGGGACACCCCTGTACATAGCCGACATCGGTTAATACAGTTCGAACCACACATTTCCCTTCGTATTTGTTAGTTACCCAAATGTCTCTCTGTATACGTTCCCAATGTAATGCGTTTGATTTCCCTTGAACGGAGGGCGAAACAGTATGTATCTCGTCGACAAAACGTGTAGCAATCCAGTAGCAGTTCTAGGTAGCTGATGAGAAGTAACGTACAAGTTCCATTAACACGTTCCGTGCCACGTGTACCATCGATGGTACACGCTTGCATGTTTACTTAGTGAACTGAACAAATTGTTTACAAGAAATTTAGAACCGAAGAATCAATTTCCACCGCAAGAATGGGCGTTGATAAGTTTTTGTTACGTTGTTATGTGTACGAGAATTAATAATTGCACGTAATACATCAAGTTTTAGTAAAATATCAAAGTGTGAAGATTCGAGTAAAAAAAGCTCGGCACGGAACGTGTTAATAACGTATTCCACGTAATCAGTAGTACTAACACGACGTGCGAGCGCACTCGTTCATGGAAACTAGGTGATCGTAGAACGTTGATCAAGTCGAGGCGATTTGTGTTCGTCTTTCTTGGTATTATATATCAGCTTCCTTTGTCGCTTCCGCATTAATATCTTAGCAATGGTTCTGCGACAGTACAGTCGCTACTTGCGCCCCTCTTTAATTCACTATAATATACAACTATTGTTGCTCGCATATTCTCTACAATCTATCCATCCACAGACAGATTCGTACACCGTAAATGACAATGGCGACGACCAATGAACAGAAACCGGCAGTCGAGGTCTCTCTATCTCTATCGAGGATAATAGCTCATTAGTACCATAATCAAGTCATCCACAACCCCTGGCAGAAAATATCCGATCGAGGACAAGTAAAACTCGTCGTCGGAGTTCTCAAATATTTTCGATTACGATAAAGACGGGCGCAATCATAAAAATATAGTATAATATAATATAATACTAATATATATACTATATATATATAATATACTATACTATACTATATACTATATATATAATACGATATAATATAATATTATTATAACATAATGTATATAATATATATAATATTGTACATTATTATAACATAATGTATATAATATATATAATATTGTATATTATTATAACATAATGTATATAATATATATAATATTATATAATATTATAATATAATGCATATAATATACAGGGCGTCCCAAAAATGTCTCGCAATCCGAAAGTGGCGGGTTCCTCAGGTCATTTGAAGCAACTTCTTCCTTTACAAAAATTTTCTCCGAGGCACCATTAACGAGTTATTAACGAAAAACAGTGACCAATGGGAGGCGAGCTCAGCTGGCGCGAGGCGGCCGAGTCAGCGGCGCCAGCGGTCTAGGCGGTCAAATCGCAGCTCAGCTGGCACGAGGCGGCCGAACCAGCGGCGCCAGCGGTCGAGGCGGTAGTCGATTCTTATTGATCACTGTTTTTCGTTAATAACTCGTTAACGGTACCTTGGAGAACATTTTTGTAAAGGAAGAAGTTGCTTCAAATGATCCGAGGAACCCGCCATTTCCGGATTGCGAGACATTTTTGGGACACCCTGTATATAATATTATATAATATTATAATACACAATATATATAATATATAAGTAATATATACTATAGTATAGCATAGTATAAAGAAAGCAATAATATAAAAGCAAGTATGCTTGGTTTATTGTGAAACATGTGACAAGAAAATTTGTCGCTGATCCGTGAAAGGGTTCAATTAACTTAAGCACTGTCATTGAGCCAAGCCAAGTTTAACAACATTAGATATATATGTATATATATATATATATATATATATATATATATATATAATATAATATATATATATATATATAATATAATATATATATATTCAATATAATATATATATATATATATATATATATATCCAATATAATATATATATATATATCCAAGAAACAAAGAAACCGAATAAAAATTCTTTTCTCTCGAGAGTCGGCCGTCTCAAATTTCTCTGATCTTTTCGATCGAATATACGCTGCCAGGGATGGCGACCATAATTTCGAAAGCATAATCACAGCTCGCTCTCGTCACAAGCTCCACGACGGACCCGAGAGCGTCAACGTACAACTCGAGAACGCTGCCTCGAATATTTTAAGCGACCGTAAAACATAACCGTAACATAGTCCCGAGCACAAGTCATCGTTCGCTTGATCGCGAACGCGAACGGGATTAATAATTATAAGCCTAATAGCTCGGCTTAATCTGACCTGGTTGTTCGTGATCCTGAAGCGATCCTGCCCGGACCGGTGCACAAGTACACGCCGAAACACGACTTCAACCCCATGGACTGCACCGACATAATAATCGGATCGGCGCGAGGCGACAGTCACAGGATAGGCGACTATTACACCAGGGACCGGTCGACGCCCAGGAAGGACGACTATTGGGGCGGCAGGGACACCCTTACCGCCGCCATGGGTTACGAAAAGGACGGCGTCACCACGATACTGTTCAGACGGAAATTGGCCGCGAACGAGCCGACCGATCACGAAATCGTCGATGGGAACATGCAGGTGATATGGGCGAAGGGACAGGAACCCGGCAAGTACGTCCATAATCCGCCCAGCGGCATCGAGAAGGCCAAGGTCGGCGTGAAAGACTTCTACAAACCGGACGAGCTCAAGTATCACGGCCACGGCTCGCAGAGGGGGGCTCTGAGCCTCAATTTCTTCGGTACATCGATGCGCTATTTTTTTCTGTTTTCGAGTTTATGCATTATTCAGAAAAAAATTAATATTATTATAATAATATAATATAATATTAATATAATATTAATTATTATATTATAATATAATACAATATAATATTAATAATATATATAATATTAATTATTATATTATATACAATAATAATATTGCCTCAATTTTTGTTTCTTATTTTATACACGGCATTATTAGACCGTGGAGTTTATGCATTTTTCACAAAAAATGACTAGAGTAACGTGCAGTGGACTTAACGCGAAACTGCGAAGACGTTAAATTAATATTAAAATGTCTTTGTATTATTGTACAATAATACAAAGACATTTTAATATTATAATATCTTTATATTATTGTATAATAATTATATTGAATTATATTAATTATTATAATAATATAATATAATATAATATAATATAATATAATATAATATAATATAATATAATATAATATAATATAATATAATATAATATAATATAATATAATATAATATAATATAATATAATATAATATAATATAATATTAATAAAATATATTATAATATATTAATTATTATAATAATATAATATAATATTAATAAAATATATTATAATATATTAATTATTATATTATAATATAATATAATGTTAATAATATATATAATATTAATTATTATATTATATACAATAATAATATTGCCTCAATTTTTGTTTCTTATTTTATACACGGCATTATTAGACCGTGGAGTTTATGCATTTTTCACAAAAAATGACTAGAGTAACGTGCAGTGGACTTAACGCGAAACTGCGAAGACGTTAAATTAATATTAAAATGTCTTTGTATTATTGTACAATAATNGCCTCAATTTCTTCGGTATATCGATGCGCTATTTTTTTATTTCTTATTTTATATACGGCATTATTAGACCGTGGAGTTTATGCATTTTTCACAAAAAATGGCTAGAGTAACGAATAGTGGACTTAACGTTAAACTGCGAAGACGTTAAATTAATATTAAAATGTCTTTATATTATTGTACAATTTGTTAAATTGATTAAAAGGGGAACCGATGTTTACGTCGAACTTGCGATTCTTACGCTTAACTTGGATAGTTTATTTTCTGCATAAAAATCCGCGATCTTGTCGTTATCATTGAAATTATAATTACACCAAAAACATAATTTAACCCCTTGCACTGTAACGAGTCAGACTGGAGGGAGATTTCACACATGATCTACTAAATGTGAATTTTATTTATTTATCGGTGAATCGAGACAGATTTTTCTGCTATTAAAATTTAGGAATGAAAGTAAATTGTAAATTGTTAAGAACGAAGAAGAGTTAATCAACGTAGCTGTTAAAGAATCACAGCGCAAAGGGTTAATTATGTTTTCTTATTATGATTTCATTGAGGTAACGACTAGATCGCAGATTTTTCTGCAAAATAAAAATTATCCACGACAGTTATAAAAGTCGTAATTTCAAAATAAAACATTAATATTATATTAATATTAATAATTTCTAGGTAAAAAGTCATAATTTCCAAATAAAATATTAATATTATATTAATATTAATAATTTCTAGACAAAAATATCTTTCCCCTACTAATCGTTCAACTCGACGATCATTTGTTCCGTTTTCTCGAGTCGAAAGAATTCAATAAATTCTCGTTTATGATGCGTCTTGTATTAATGTTTACATTAATCGTTGCTCTCTAAACGCTTTCAGAGGAGAAAAATAGGCCAGAGTTGGTCGACGGAGAAGCACCCACGCCGGTTGCAACCTGCCAAGGCGAATGGCACTATCCGAGACGATGCTCGCCCGAAAATGGCACCTGCGAATATTCCCTTCAGTGGTCGTACAAGAGCCGAAAGGTGAGTCGATCGTCGCGAGACGCATCCTCGAATCTACACCGTTTATATATTTTTCATTCTACGCCAAGAATCGTACAAATAACGGCGGTATTCTTGCAGGACCAATTATCGTTCGTCATCAGCACGACGCACACGAACAGCTGGACCGGTGTCGGTTTCTCCGACGACGAGAAAATGGTATACACTTTCGGTCCACGCTGATAACAGCCGATAAAATCCGCGGTACAGTAATGTCTCCCTAATTGGCGCTCAGATTGCGCAGAGAATTGGACAATTTCGGAAGAGGAGATACGATTATTCGAGAATATAATATAATATTATATCATATTATATTATGTTATATTACATTATACTATATTATATTATATTATATTATATTATATTATATTAGATATAATTATATTATATTATATTATATTATATTATATTATATTATATTATATTATATTATATTATATTATATTATATTATATTATATTATATTATATTATATTATATATGATATAATATAGTCGTCGAGAATCAATGACCATAAAAACGACCCGAAAAGCACCAATATTCGTATCTCCTCTTCCGACATTGTCCATCATTGTGGAAAATCCGAGCGTTAATTAGAGAGAGAGACATTACTGAAATTGGCGCGGCAATCAACTTCGTTTCTTCACCTTTTAGTCGCAAACGGACGCGGTGCTCGGCTGGGTCGACGACAAATCGGGCCGCGCGTTCCTGATGGACACATGGATCAGCGGTTACAACGCGCCGCTGTTGGATCCGTCCCAGGATATTTACAACACCGGCGGCAGCAAAGCGGACGGCGTGACGACCCTGAGATTCTCGAGGAAACGGGTGACGAAAGACAACAGGGATCTCTCGTTCACCGACGACCATTGCCTGTACATGATGTACCCTGTGAAAGGCGGCGTTTTCAACGCTGTCAGCAAAAAGATCCGCAAACACGACGCCGTGCCGGTGGTGTCGTCCGAGAGGATATGCATCAAATCTTGCGGGGACGAAGGTTGTGCTTGTTACACGTTCGACGTTGCGACGAAAAAAAAAAGAAAAAAAAGACAAATAATTCATCCTTAATATAATAAATAATAAATATATAATATATATATTTATATTTATATAATAATATAATATTTATATTTATATTTATATTTATATTTATATTTATATTTATATTTATATTTATAT